CGGGAAAAGCTCCACCACGGGATCGGTGCGGGACTTATCGCAAGCGTCGTCCTGCTCCTGATTCTCGTCGTACTTCTTCACGGACGCCATGAACTCCAGGTGTTTCTTTTCCTCCTCCAGTTGGGCCACAAGCTGCTCGGATGCCTGGAATTTCTGCTGAGTATTGGCCAGCTCGTCGCGGAGCCAGGCGTTCTCCTGGTGGAGGCGGCGCACCTGTGTCTTAAGCTTGTGCTTCTCGGCCTCGATGTTCTGCAGATGGGATGTCAGGGCCATCATCACCTGGGCCTCGCTGAGGCCCAGTTCGATGTTCTCGATGTTCTTTCGCAGCATGTCCGACTTCTCATTGTCTTTCTGGACCTCGGCGATTCCGTTCATAATCGAAACATGCTCCACTCGCAAGGCTTCGAGGCCTTGAAGGACTGTTTTCGTATTGGTTATTATTTCGTCCTGTGACATTTGCGTCATTTTGCCGATTTTCTCAATTTTCTGTCTGCAAAACACATACAAAATACTGATTAATAAGTGCTCTTACTAGCCTTTGGCATCTTAAAGTGTAACAATATGAATGAACTCCAAATTAAAAGGTGTTTATCGGGGTATTTGATGTGTTTTACAGCCTGTATGATTTTATAGCTTTGGAGACAATCATTTTAACCGTATATAAAACGATTCAAGCTGCGTTAATCAATACGATGAATAAGAAAACTTATTGCGCATGTTCGCTGAAAAAGGTGGTTGAAAATCGGAAATGCCCGCTTTATTATATTCGCTTTAGCGATAACTTTTAGAGATATAAAAAGTAAAAGAAATAACTTTGCTGATTAACTTAATTTAAATATAATGACGCTATAGAGCCAATCAGAATCTACGCTCAACAAAATCCAATTGAGTACGAACAAGTGTCCAATTGGAAAATACGGATAAAAGTATATTCGATTTATATCGAATACGCTGCTTGTAAGCCTTTCCTTTATTTATTATTTATCAACACAGCCGGTGGAATTTACATAAACATGACACTTGGTTAAAAAGTGTTTAAGGCCACTTAAATCGCTTAGCATGGTTATAATTATGGGCGAAAGTTAATTACACTTGGCGTCATGCAATAAACAAAAAACGAATCGCAAAAGTAGATGCTTACATCAACTGGCTGGAATTATGTAGTTTTCTGCAGTCCGAAGCTATTAGTACCCTAATATAGTATTACCTTTCGTCATTTGCCTTTCGAATTGGAAATCTAGATTGCGTAAAATGAGATTGTGAGTTGAATTTGAGTGGATTGCTCGATTCTTTATCAAGATCAACAAATGTTCTGATTTCTTTGGTCGGAAATGATAGCAAATGGTCGGCTAGTGAGAGTATAAATATTGAAAATGGGGTTACAACACCCTAGCTCACTTATTCCAGTGTATTAAAAAGTGAGTCACTTTATGTACATTATATCCATAAACACTTGAACATAAAAGTTCGTTGCATTAGATTCAATTCCGTACTTATCGTACTATGCGATTACTTCAGGCGATGAAATCACCCTTTATTTGTGTTTATTTTTGCAACGCGAGCTGTCGCTGATCACTTTTCCAACCAGACTGATTATTTATGTAAAATGGCTCATATTTTCCAGCACAAAACTTTTCTTCAAGTGACAGTCACTTATATTTATGTGCAACATACACACATAAGCACAAGTAGAATTGTTTGTGTGTGCGTGAATGGAAATTGTCTTTCGAAATCCAGTTGGAAATGGTTATGCAAGTTATCGCGGAGTGCATTCAATTATTGTAACTTATTACCAGCTGTTTTGCTCTGCAAACTTCTCAATTAATCGAAAAAGAGCGTAGATTTTCTATAAAAATATCTTACACTGCAAAACTTCTAAAATAAAACTGAGTGTGACCGTAGCCGGGGCGTTGAGTTTTCTCCGATATGAATATATATTCCTAAGCTTTGCAGTAGTGGTCACACTGTCGGGTGCAGAACGCAGTGGAATCGAAACACTAAAAAAATGAAAATTCCTTAAACGGCTAGATTTATCACAATGAGACTTAGTATATTAGCTAAAATTAAGTTTAATTTAGTTCAAATATAGTAGTAGTTAACAAGTAATTATGAGCAACATGCTGTTTGTAAGCATCAATCAAATGTTTGAAGAGGACAAACAAACATACTTTGGTGGAACAGGTATTGATTTCGTTCAATAAAAAGAAAAATTAAAATTTTTAAAATAGTTGAAAAGTGTATTTTGAAAACAATACACAGAAATATTTTAATTAATTTGTTATAAACTTAATGGATTTGAAAACATCGTTATTATATTAGCAAGCTGGCATATTTTTGTATTCAAGATACGGTCGCACTATTCTTTTTGTAATAAATTTTGCAAGACTTTTTCAAGTCTCTGTTTTTGTTCTATATTTTAATTTTTACCGTATAAAACTGAACAAAAGAGTATGCCACCCCCAAGACCGAAGGGGATAGGATTTAATACAGGAGCTACCCAACCCAGATCGAACTCAAACACGCCAATGTCGGAGAGGCAGCAAATGGCTTTGCTCATCCAAATGACAGCCAACTCGTCGACAGGTAAATATGCAAAATAATTAAATAAATCGCTAGTTTCCACATGTTTTAGTTACATTTACACGCATTGGCAAAGCGAATCACTCTCACAAATTGCAATGCGTACTGGGGTGCTTCCCTGCATACACATTTACATACATATACATCTTCGAATGTACATATCTACATAAATGTATCTGAGAGTCTGGAATAATGTAAAGTATGCTAAAAACTGGTTTGCCCAATTATGAAGAGCCCGTTAACTTATTTATGTATAGAGATTATTTAGGAATCTGGTAAAAAAATGTAACTTACTTCTATGCAAACTAAAACTTTTTAACCTGTTCTACTCACCTAATTAAGCTTAAGTTATTTAATTTCTAACAACATCTATTCGGTTGGGTTTCTTACGAACAATATATTATATCATTTTTCATTTCTATATATTATTTTACTCTCCTACATGATCTTCCAAACTAAATCACACAGCCGTCAAATGTATTGTATAAGATTCTCGTTCTTGCAGATTCATCCCGCACCAATTTAAAGAAGAATGAATGCAAGAAAGGAGACACAGAGACTGATGAGGGCAGCCTGAATGAGAAGCAAGAAGTCCTGGACACGAAAGACAAATCTTCAGCGGAGGAAAGCAGCAACGATGGTAAAACCAGCGATACGAATCATCAGGGAACTTCGACTGCCAAGCGCTGTTACTCAGACATAGAGGAGGACTACGAGGAATCTGGCGAGGACGTGAAGAAAAAGAAGCGTAAGGACTCGGAGCATGGAAAGGACGTGAAGGGTGCCTCCCTAAAACTCACCTCTCGCGTCGAGAAAAACTCCAAGCTAGCTGCAACGAAGGGATCTCCGTCAGCAAACAAAAGCAGTGCCTCTAATGCCGAAAAGGAACAGGCGGAGACTAGTAAGAATGTAGACATTGAGAACGAAACGGAGTGCAGCGATGATTACAAGAGTAACGACAGCCTGTACAACGGAGGACTCAAAGTCCCGCCATTGAAAATTGTGATTCCTCAGCAGAACTGCTCAATCGACACTGAGGGCAATGTGCTTAGAACTGGCAAGGTGACTGCCTCCCGCAATGCTGCCCTGCCGTATGTGGTCAGCTCCAATAGCGATTCCATTGACACCGTCATAACCAGTCAATCTATTAGCCCGCACGAAAGTCCACAGAAGAGCAACAGCATTTGCTCCACAGCCCTGGATGATAAGAATATAAAGCTGTTCAATGACGAAAAGAACCTGAGGGTCCTGCGAAGCTCTCATCGCACTGGAGTGACCAGTGTGGAGCGCAGTTCCAATAACTCCTCCCCGCAAATGCAGAGCAGCTCTCCTTCACCAGCGTCATCCAATCATGCCAACGATCCTGCAGATGTGAAGCTCTCCTATAGCAACATGACTTCTAGTCCGATCCCGCAAGGCCACCAGTTTGACCATGAGGCAATCACCAACGTTCCGAGCCCGTCGACATCGTCGACTTCCTCGTCCAAGGACATACATCCCACGAACGTGGAACTCCATCCGCGGAAGCGAAAGATTCGTCCCAAAAACACCGACGACAGTTCGAAGAACTCAAACGCGGCGGATTCCGGAGTCAACTCCGAAGAAGCGCACCCCCATGACCATCCCTTTACCAATGGTTTCCAGATGTTCTTAAGCATCCGTCGTCAGATCGAAAAGAAGTGGAAGAGCTTGTATCCGGTGAAGCCTAGACCTCCGCAGGGATACAACGAATATTTGCTTACAAAGAAATCATACTTATTAAGACGCAATGCGGCGATGTTAGTTCCGGATATTCCACGCACTGTCCCGCAGGCCATGGAGAGGATTTATCAGGATCAGGAGAGAGCAAGACGGGACTTAATCGAAGCGCACACAGTGGAGCGGGAAAAACTATGCATGAACGTTGAGCAAGAGATTATACGGGTCCACTCGAAGGCGGCCAGGAGCATATCTGGACAGCCGGCGCCCTATTCCGTTTGCACATACTTGAAGGACGACGAGGTCTACAACATGATCACGCCGGAGCAAGACGAAAAGGAAAAGAGTGCTCGGTGCCGATTTAATGGACGATTGCTCCTCAGCTGGCTGCAAGATGTCGATGATAAGTGGGAAAAAATCAAGGTATGCTCAACCAAAACAAAACCAAAAATTTATTTGCGTATCTTAACTGTTGTTATCTTTTAAGGAATCCATGGTGTTGCGGCATCATAACGAGGCGGAAAGTCTGCATGCCGTGCAGGTAATGGATTGGAATATATTCGCAAAACGAAATAGGCTATGTGACAACCCGATTGAAGTTAATTTGGAGCACGTTCCGATCGTTTCAGTTGGAGACGATTTTGACACATTGCCAACATAACTGACACATTGAAATTAATAAATTGTTACAAGATTATAAATTTGTAAATTAGAGATACTTTCAAAGTCCTTTTTATTTAACTTATAATTTATGTACGTGAAAAATCGATTTGTTTTTAATGTGCACTTAAGTTGTCCACAATATTTCTTGCATAATTAACCATGTCCTGTAAATAAAGTAGATATGAAATTTGATACATAACAATAGATATATAAACTAATCTTACTTCACATGTTTCCGACTGTTTGTTTTTCGAAATAATTTGTTCAAGTTTCGACAGGATTTCCTCTCGTTTTTCCGTAGAGAGTTTTAACTCCGATTCCCGGGAAAGTGACGAAAGTGCAAAAAGAGTTGTTTCTTGTTTGATGTCAAAGTCTTCCACAGGCTTTAGGTTTTCCACTAGCACAGGAAACACGTCTTCCTTTACAAAATCATCTGTTGCGAATGAAAAATTAAAGATTATTTGGTGCTGGGCTATAAATGCTACTTCTAATTACCTCTGACAGACTTCTCGATTGAAGTTAATGATGCAATAAGAAATGCTGTCTTCACGTAGACATTCAGATTTGTGGACTTGAGACAGGGTATCAAGGACCTGATACCCTTTATGCGTTTAAACTCCTCGTAGCCAGGCTGAAAGTTCCTTATCAGCGATGATATCGCATACAAGGAGCACCGCACGGTGTTCGGGGTTGAATGGCTCAAATTCTTTGCAAGTGCAGGGAGAAACTTATCACTTATGAGGGCGTTCTGGCAAAATACATTATTCTGCGCCACTTCAGCGACAGTATTGAGTGCCGACTCCCTAACTTCGCTATCTGAATGAGTTATGTAACGGAGTAGAGTTGCGGTTCCTCCGAGCTTCACCAGCGTTATGGCATTGTCGATGTCATCGATGTGGCTCCTTATGACATCCAGGCTTTCGATTTGGTCGTCCGTGCTGGCCTCTTCGCTATTCAAGATCACTAAAGCTGCTTTTAGAGCCGCCGCAGCATCCACTGTCATGGCATTTAGGGCATTGGCCAAAAACTGGGCTCTCTGAAACATAAAAGATTTGTTTTTGAAAATAGTTCCAATTTACTAGGAAAGTCTATAAGCATAAATTAAAAATTAATAAACTTAGGCAAGAATATGTTTATTGCGTCGTATGAATCGTATGTAGAAAAGTAGATTCCAATAAAATTTGACTTTTAATTGGAAGCCCATTTGGAGGAGCACATGGCCGCATAGTTGCTAGATGATTCGATTGACTCACTGCTTAGGACAACACACTTTTTGATAATTTACAAAGTATAACTAGTGGTGGTGTTTTGGGGGATGAAGCCTAACACAATAACGTGACTAAATATTCCTTAAATACTCTCAATTTGCAGTGTTTACATACCTCAGGATCGGATGTTTCCAGCTTTGGGGCTGCATCTGGATTTGGATCGTGGTGTTGCACCGTATATTTCAGTACATTCTAAGGAAAAGATACATTTATTGGACATGACAAAATAGTGTATCTTAATTACTTACCTGTAAGCTTAAGGCTCCTCTGGGTGCGTTTGGATCGGTCATTTTGGAAATAGACTCTGTTGCAATCACAATATAATTTTTTGTTTTTGATAATAATTAGTGATGGAATTTCAAGATTATCGCACATAACCGATACAATATTTATCAATCAAAATCATCATACACATATATTTCAAATTTAAGCAACACTTACGGTACACGAACATTAGACTGATTTTTATTATCTTATTAAGTATTTCCTATTTAAATTGCTTATAAAATAAATAAACCTAAGAAACCACCTGTTTATTGAACCACAATCCATTTCCACAACCTGTTCCAATTCCACTTGTCCCATTTGTGACTCGGCAATATTTATGCGGTGTAGATAGTCCCCAATCATATGTTTATAGTTGTGGTGTTAGGGAATGAATTAAAAACAAATATTTAATAGGATTAGCGTCAGTGGTTTATAAAGAAGCATGTTACGAGACCTCATAACGTGGGTGCTGAATACGTATCTGGGAAAGTATCTGGAGAACTTGAATTCCGCCCAATTGTCGGTGGCACTGCTCTCGGGTAATGTGATATAATTGTTTATCTTATTCCGCATCGCATAAACAATATATTTTCCTGCAGGCGAAGTTGAGCTCGAGAATATACCCATACGCAAAGATGCTCTCCGCTCGTTCAATTTGCCGGTCGAAGTCACCGCCGGCACTATCCGCAAAATCAAACTCCAGATTCCAGTCCGCCAGTTTAGGACCTCGCCATGGTGCATCTCCATCGAGGGCCTGTTCTGCATCATCTGTCCAAAGAACCTGGACAACTGGGACTACGAGAAGGAGAAGCTGCAGGATCTGGAGTACAAGCTGGCCGTGCTGGACACGGCAGAAGCGGGCTGGCGGTCCGAAAAGGGCAAGCAAATGGAGTCCTACTACTTCTCGTCCTACAATAACTGGCTGAAGTACGGCACCAACATGGCCACCAACATCATTGACAACATTGAACTCAAGATATCCGATGTCCACTTTCGGTTTGAGGACATCGTGGACACCGGCAAGAGCAAGATATGCACGGGGATCAAGATCGGATCTCTGACCGCCCAGAGCTGCGACTGTGATTGGACCAATGGGTCCTACAAAATGACCAACAACGAAATGAACTACAAGCTGGTGGAGCTCAAAGAGCTCTCGGTGTACTGGGATCTGTTGCACGAGGACATCAAATGTCAGTCGTACTCCAACCAGGAGATTCTCGAAAAAATGCAATCTACCTGCGAACTGCGAGCCCACAACTTCATCATCAAGCCCATTTGTGCAACGGCTAGGTGGAAGCGCGATAAATGCCAGCAGGTGATACGTACCAAAGACAAACCCAGGGTTTCCTGTGAACTCCTGGTTCCCGAGGTGGTCATAGACATCTCCAAGGTAACTAAACCCAACTTAAAGGCACAACTTCAATGAGACGTAATTTACTGAGGTCCAAAGTTCATGACTATTATTTGTTTTACTTTTTAAGTGATTATCGAACAAATCACTTTATTCGTGAATGATATTTTTATCAGACAACTATTTGTTCATCATGAATCACCAACAAATAGGCATATTATATCCAATTAAGCCCTAAAATAAACGTGTACACCCATAAACACAATTGTACTTTCCATGACGATGTTGTTATCATCCAATTTTTTATAGTTTTTATATATTATGTTCTAATAAATTATTTTAATATTTCCAGGTCCAGCGACTCCAAATGTTAGATAAGCTCTCGGAAATCCGTCAAGTTAAGGAAGTTCGGCAATACAGGCTAAAGCGACCCACTTGCACCGTAGAAAGTAATCCAACCTCATGGTGGAAATACGCCACCATTTGCCACGGATTTGACTTTAAGAAAAATGAGGAAAAGTGGTTAATGCTCAAGGAAAATCTCCGTTACATGCTGCTTTACAAATCAATTATATTAAATCCGAACGAAAATCTATCCGCCGCAGATAAAGAGTTTAAAGCCTACATCGAGAGCGATAGAAAGATCTCGGATTTAACCATAATGAGAAGGATATGCTTTGAGAAAGTGTTTACGAAAGGTTTCTCCTTTGAAACACAGAACGAGCAGGGAAAGAATATGCTTTTTCATTGGTTTCCAAACTGGATGGGCTGGTATGCAAACAGTCCCAGTACCCCCAATAATGAACAGGATGAATCCCTCAAACATTTGGAGGATGATATTCTCGTTGCGTTGGAAAACTCACTTCAGAATTCCTCTGATTTAAAAAGCGATGCTGTCTTCGGACACTTTTCCATCAAGCTTCTCAAAGGACTGGTAATCCTTCAGACCGAGGATAAATTAAATGATGGCAGGAATAAGTCAATGGAAATGCTATTCAATAACTTCTCCGCCTACCTCCAATTGAGCCCACAGTTAACTTCTTACACTGTGGGCATATCCCTGCAAGAAGTATACTTGATAGACAAAACTAGTAGTGATACGATGCACAATTATTTAATTAAGCCACAAACAGGGAATACAGCTACACCAAACCAAGTAGTAAAAAATGCTCTCCAGGAGGATTTCCTTTTTCAATTACAATACGAGAATTGTAATCAATTACGCTTTCAGCTGAACATTAAATCAAAAGGGTTGGATCTTATCTATAATGAGGATGCGATCCAGTGGCTTTTAGATTTCCTGGCCGATTCAAATTCCTATAAATACTCACCGCGCAATAGAGTCACCGAGAAAACTGACTTTATGAAGAACTGGAATCAAATGTTTAGTGGAAACGAGGTGAGCAAATCATTGAAAACATTTACAACCAAAGCTAACTCTTGTAATTTTTAGGTAAATCGAAAAATTTGGATGTTTGAAATTGAAATTTTCGCGCCTCGAATAATATTTTTGGAGAACTACAAAGTTGGCAATTCGCTTATGGTTTTGCTGGATTTCGGAAAACTGGAAATGAGAAAAATGGAGGTTAAAAGAGTTATACCTGTGATAGAGTCGGCTGCAACGGAAAACACAAGCGATGACGATGAAACCTATTTGACTCCATGTTCTACTCCGCCTGCATCGGAAAAAAGTGGTTCTGACTCTCCCACGCTGCTTGAAAATCCAAAAACGGAGAGCTTTCTGAACAAAAACGTTCAATTGGAGTACGTCTTGCACAATAAGATTTACGATAAATACTTGATCAACTTTACAAACCTTCAAGTTCTGGTATGCAAATACGAAGAAAGGTGGCAAGCTTGCTTGAAAACATCGTCGAATTTCCATCTGATTGATAAATTTAATATCAACCTCACACTCGAGCAACGGAATATCTTCACCATCGATCCGGAATATCCCTCATTTATGCTCTTTGGCACCTGTCCAACAATATTAATCCACGGGAACGAGGAACTCATAAACAACTGTTGCAACATTATGAAACCCATTATAAAAGCTTCGAAGGAAATGGAAAACATTTACAGAGGAGGCAACACGATTTACGCAAGCGAGAGAATTAAAAACCTTGCGGAAGACGATAGAAGCCGAGTCGTCATAGAGTTTGTAATGGACCAGCTGGTGATCGAGATGCAATCGACAGAAAGGAGTATTGCTGAGCTCCAAATTATTGGGGCACGAGCTGGACTAACAAAAGAACCGCATGAAACGAATATTTCCATGTCTGTTCACGGATTGCTATTAGTAGATGCCATTCAGTCTTTCGGTCCCGATTTCGAACTATTGGTGGCTAGTCACCGACATGTCGGGTATGTACATCCTTAGAATGCATGCGAAATGCTTGATAGAATGCTTTTCTTTTTGCAACTACTCTTGACAAAGGAAATTCTTATTTAATTATTAAAGATATTTATTAAAGAAATAGCGATTATAAATATTTTTGTCTGTATGCATGTTGTCTGTGCCTTGCACGCCAAATTGTTAAATTTTAATGGTTTCGAAATATTTATGCATTTTATAGAATGGATAGTTTATCTGGCAGCCTAAAACATAGTGCAATTGTTTCGCCAACTTCGCCTGGATCGCCAAATTTTTTTGATAGGGCTACTAGTCCGCACATGATTACAAAAGCAGTTCAAAATATTAAAATGGGTATGTAAGAAGAGGAATCGTTTTCATTTCTATTGCGCGGTAACTGCATACTAATAATCCCAGTTTGCTAATTAAAATCCTTGCTTTAAGCTAGTTCCCATTAATATATTTGATCATGAATATTTTTAGGAGATAGATCCACAGAATTCTGCGACGATGAGGACTCAACTGCGCTCATCTCGGTTGACATTAAAATTGTTCCACCCAACGAAAGCAATTCAATGCAACTTCTCACTACGAACATCACATTTAACAGCTTGGATATCATTGGTAAGCATAAAATCAATATAACAAACTTAGGAAATATAACGATTTTTAATGCATTTATTTCAGCAAATCAGGATACTATTCTTGAAATTCTAAACTTCGCTAAGAGGACCCTTCTAGCACAAAATATTTTTTCAAGCGAGAGCTCTGAACCACCAAAAGAAGCAGCTGAAGCACCAGTGGATGTAGTTGACCAAGTTGCTCATCAGAATCATAACGAAATATTATTTGATTTCTTCCGACTAAATATTCTGCTTTTGTACACCATCAAGAGGGACAAATTTAATGTTGGTCGAAAAGTTGGAACTGTTACGCTGACGGAAGCTAAAATCAATGCATCTTTTCAATCGGACCTAACAATTTTGGGATCCCTTGGTGGAATACAAGTTATCGACATTACTTCTGAAGCCTTTTGCCATCCGAGAATTCTTTCTGTTGGCCGCGATCAAATTTTGAGAGCTTCCGACACAAATAAACAAACCGTTCTTAGTCAGCTTTCCAATGAAATATACTCAAATAATTACAACGAGGAAAAGAGCGACGAAAGTGATGCAATAAGTTTTCAAAGCCACTGGAGTGACAAGACTACTTGCACTTTCCAAATGCGAATGGCATCGGCTTCTTATACTCATTGTCCCAGGTTTTTGCGGGATGTAAATGCTTGCATTACGTATTTTAAAAGGAGCTTGCGGTGAGTAGTATTCGTTGTATATATTAAAAATGTATTCTACGTATTTTAAATATTTACAGAGAATTCGCCACCTCCATTGGTAATAAAGCTACAGATATGGCCAAA